ACATGCTCGGGGGCCTCCTTGTTAATATTTTATATTTTCGAATGGAGCATAATATGCAAACTTATAACAAACATTATAAAAAAGGTAAATATTTGAAGAAACAAAAACATGTACAGAAAGGAATAGTAAACTCACAAAGAAAAACTCTGAAGATGTTTGTTTGTTTTTTTTAACTCAAACTTATGAAAAATACAATTATGTTGTAAATATTACCAGAAATACACAAAACATTTAATAATAGAACCTCAACAACGGTTACTTTAATAATGAAACTCCAGCACTGGTGGAAGATAAATGGAAAACCGACAATCATCATTATTGATTACTTTTTCTCTCTGTGAGTTGCTTCTTTGCTGAAGTGTTGTCATCTTGGTCTGTATGTCTTTGTTAAACAATTTCAAATTGCAGCTGGTCTTTCATGGTTAAATAAAGTATAGAAGAATCGCACTGCAGAGGCTAAAGACTTGATCTTGATCTGACTTTATTGGTCACAGTTCTTTTATATAAAGTACTTAAATGTGAAATACATTTTCTTCTCCTAAGTGGCAGCTTTACAAAGGAGAGAGAGAGAGAGCTATTTTCTTGGGAAATGTGCGAAGTATAATAATTAGATAGCTGTATGAATAGAACATATTAACCGTGTTATTTTCTCAGAAAAAGACAGGCGTTAACATTATTATTCAAACGTGCATTGGGACTGATTTGCTGGCTTTGAATTCATGACAATGGCAAATGGGTACAAAAAATGTTTTCTTGCTCTAATAAGAAGCGTGAGAACATTTCCAGATTTAATAACAATAACTTTTATTGATTACAAACAAGTGTGGACAAGGTGGACTTGATTACAGGGCATTTTAAGCTTTTGCAGGCTTGTATCTCTATGTCATGAAGCTTATGGGTCGACTAGGAAAGAAATATTAGATAAACTCAAACAAGTTTTTATTTTCAATTACTGACATTTCTGTTTGTAGGGAAAAAAACATCCTTAATAATAAATGCTTGCCAATGAGGAGTACAATCTGAAAGAGTGGTTCATGGAGACTTGTCTTTTCTGTTTCTACACAGGGCTCCCTTGCATTTGTACCACAGCAAGCCTGGATCCAAAACGCCACTCTGCGTGATAACATCTTGTTTGGCTCCCCCTATGAGGACAGGCGATTTCAGGAGGTATTGGAGGCCTGTGCTCTTGGCCCTGACCTTAAGTTGTTATCGGCAGGAGACATGACCGAGATTGGAGAAAAGGTACGTTGATGAGCTCAGTTTTTAGAAGTTCAAACATGTGGGTATAGTCATCATTGAGAGGTTTGAGTAAATGTCATAACTCTGATGTAAATGGAAACCTTGTGGGCTTGTGTAAATCTCATGTAATGGTGTGCTGTGCTCTCCTCTTTGTTCGTAGGGTATCAACCTTTCAGGAGGTCAGAAACAGCGCGTCAGCCTTGCCAGAGCAGCTTACAGTCAGGCTGATGTTTTTCTATTAGATGACCCCCTCTCTGCTGTGGACTCTCATGTTGGAAAGCATCTCTTTGACAAAGTTATTGGACCCAACGGACTTCTTAAAAACAAGGTTTGAACTTGTCCTAAATACTAAAATACTCATCAGATACCATTTGTTTCACCATTTTAAAGTGGTCCTGTTAATTTTACATTTTTGGGACAGATTTGTTTATTGAACTTTTTCACAGAAAGCTGCTGTGACATAGATTTATAAAATCTACCATATGTCTCAACCTTTATTTAGATCTAATCATGCAGTGTTTGGTGAAGATCTCACCTTATGACTAAATTTGAACCCCCAAGCCTCTAACTCTGGTATCACTCTTGCTGCTGTGTATACAGCACCAAAACTAAATAATATTACCGTTGCCTCTTGATCAAATGTCTTTCCTATAGATTTGTTTTCTAAATGAGTTGTTCTAACAAAGCTTTACTGCTGTTGAATTATTATTAATTCAGTTGTACATTTCACTAAACCGTATACAATTAACTTTAGCATAGCAATTCAAGAATATGGTTAATGGTTTTCATGGCAGAATATTCTCTGTTATGGTGAAAATATCCTATTCTTAGAGAGCAAAGGTGCCTAAATAAAATTACTTAAAAAAAAAAAACTATAAACTGACAGTTCTAATAATTGCAGTCAGAACATTTACCAAAACTTACCTTTTTTAACCATAAACATAAAATATCTAAATTTTTTGTAAAATTAAGTATTTTTTCGGGAATTTCTTGTCCAATATACATTTTGAGAAACTCTTAAATCTGGTTTGAGTAAACCTTTATGTAACACTAATTAGGGCAAGCAAATGGAAGAATGTGGAAGAATTATTTGCACGGAGCCCCAGGTGTGATCAAATACAAGAATATGAGAATAGTTTAAATTAATATATGTATTAGACAATGACAAATCACAAAAGAACATACAAAATTGACAAACATGTAAAAAAAAAAAATGTCTTTAGTTCATCAGAGCAAGTCAGTTTATGTACGATGGTTGCATGGCAACAAATCAGGGTCTCTGCAACAGTTTTCTTGTTTCTTTAACAAAGTTCAGCATTATTCCAAGAACAGTGAAAACAGGTTTTGGAGTGGAGGTTTTATCCTATGTGAGAAGTAAAATTTATACAATCGAACAGGAAGTAGTTAACAGCTCGCCATCAGAAGGTGAAAGGTGGGAATTCAGTTCCAGAGATCTGGTTTTGTGGATTTAATTAGACAAAGAAAAAACTGACCTAGAAAAGGCAAAAGAAAATAAATAATAATCCAGTATAATAATCCAAAAAAATATGTAATCAAACAACAGAGAATGATATATATCTATACTTTTAATTTACTATTTGTATAAGCAAGGGGAAAAAAGCTCAGGTAAAAAGAAAATACGTATTTGTTATTGAGTGCTTTTGTCTCTGCAGACTCGTATCCTGGTGACTCACGGAGTAAGTTTCCTGCCATATGTGGATGAAGTTATAGTTTTGGTAAATGGGCAGGTTTCTGAGATCGGATCCTACCAGAGCCTGCGTGACAATAAAGGAGCTTTTTCAGAGTTTTTGGACACCTATGCCAAAGATCAGAGTAATCAGAAAAGTTCAGAAGAAGGTAATGATTCATCAAAAAGAAGGGAATGATAGATGACTCCCTTAACTGTAGCATGGCTAGTAGAGGTCAAATGGATCAAAACAGAAAATGATACCACATGTGATTTGATCAATATATTTGCAGATGATTTCCAGGTTACAGAAGATTTAGAGGTTATCCCAGAATCAGAGGACACTCAGGCCGACTATCCTCCAGAGGACGCTGTTTCTTTCACACTGAGAAGAGAAAACAGCATCAGACGCAGCCAAAGGGGAAACAGAAGCAGGTCTGATTCACTTTGGAACAATACTTTAACTGCTGTTGTGTATTTATTTATATCTTGACATATTTCATTCAAGATGTATTATTTTTAATTCTGCTTATTAATTGTGTTTGTTCTGTCCTTTCTACAGTGTCCGATCACGGAAAAACAGCAGTTTAAAACCAACAGAAGCAGTTGGTGAGATAAAAGGTCAAAAACTGATAGAGAAGGAGACAATGGAAACGGGACAGGTATATATTTAAAGTCTAACGCCTTTAACAATGAAAGGAAAACTATTGTAACTAAAAATGTAGAACCTGTTCTCTGTGTTCTCTCATTGATATCTAGGTGAAATTCTCAGTTTTCCTCCAGTACCTGCGAGCCATGGGCTGGGGATATGCTTTTTGGATCTTTGCTCTTTACTTCATCCAGAATGTTGCCTTCATTGGTCAGAACTTGTGGCTGAGTGACTGGACCAATGATGCAGCAGAATACATGAACCAAACATACCCAGGATGGAAGAGGGATACCAGGATTGGAGTGTTTGGGGCTCTTGGACTGGCTCAGGGTAACTACTCCTTTATTTTATTCAATTAATCAATCAAATTTATTTGTATAGCCCTTTACAATAGCCAAATGATACCCAAAGTGCTTTACAACAAAGCCATAAAACAATACATAACACATACAAAACATACAGATACAATTAAAAGTGCTGTAGTGGGGCAGCACTGCAGGACATTAAAAGCCTTCCAGAAGTGCATAGAAAGGAGACAGAAAGAGGACATCTAAGAGACAGTACTACCCTAGTCAGAATTAAATGCCAATTTAAAACAGTGGGTCTTGAGCTTTTTTTTTTTTTAAAAAAAGGCTGAGGTCAGTAGTGGTGCGGATGTCAGGGGGTAGTTTGTTCCACAGTCTGGGGAGCAGCCACGGCAAAAGAACGATCGCCCCACTGTTTGAGTCTTGACCTACAGTAGGGACCTCTAACAGAAGCTGACCCGAGGTGCGCAAAGCTCTGCCACAATTCCGAAAAGTTAAAATCTCAGACAAGTAAGAGGGGACCAAGCCATGAATGGCTTTAAAAACAAACAGCAGGAGTTTAAAATCAATTCTACAACGGACTGGAAGGCAGTGGAGTGGCGACAGCACAGGAGTAATGTGTTCATGTCTAGACATGCTTTCCATCGGGCAGCAGTGTTGTGCAAGACGAGAAATTGATGACTGACTGAGGCCAACGTAAAGGGCATTGCAGTGGTCCAGTCTTGAACTAATGAAAGCATGGATTGCCTTCTCAAGATCCTGCCGACTGAGAAAGGACTTGACTTTGGCCAAAAGACGGAGCTGAAAAAAGCTTGAGCTGACAACAGAGCTACTTTTAGATTTAAACCAGTTGGGTTATTTGCAACAGTTAAGCCACTAAATAAATTTGTAAAGTCATAAGAACAACTCCCAAGAATACGGTAGGTCAAATTGGATTTTGTACCAGAGAAAACACACACTCCCTCCCACCTACTTGATCTGTCTGCTCACAAATGATTCCTTGATTCTGATTACAGTTCATCACTTAATGTTGAATACTTCTTATTTGTCAGTGGCTGTAGAATTCATGCAATACTCCATGTAATCCTTTAATCATTAATGACTTGATATTAGATTGAAGGTCACTCAAAATTCTTCTATGTTTGCTTTCAACAGATTTAATTTACTGGAAATGAAGTGGGAGTTTTATAGATTAGTTTTTTTCTCAATTCCAGAGACACTAAAAGACTCCTGCTTGATGATGGTGAATTTGTATAAATGATTTTCCCTTTCATTTTTATACTACGGTTGCTTGAAAGGATAACTGACTTATCATTTCAATGTATTTCTGTTGAATAGCGGTATTAAATATGTGTTCATCCAGCAAGTGATTCCTGATTTCCTTTTAATGCGAACATCCTTAGTAATCAAAGGTTTAAAACATTCTAATAAACACTGAAGAACCTTGTAGCTGAAAAAAGTTGATACACAAAGGTCGCTGTTATCTTTAAAATCAATTTCTGGGGCGTGCTTAGCTCACATGACCCATGTACGGAGTCCTCAGTCCTTGACGCGTCCGACCCAGGTTCGAATCCAACCTGTGGTCTTTTGCCGCATGTCTCTCCCCCTCTCTCATACCCTTACAAAATTTTTGCAATATGTTGATATATAGAATTTAATTTATAATAATATGCATTAAAGCAGAAAATCAGATGAAAACCAAGACGACCATGTTTAGAACTGGCTGCCAGGAGGAAAAAAGCTTTGCTAAAAAAAGTGTCCAAATGAATTTCAATTTGGAAAATTTAAATTTTCTAACGGTTTATGTCCCAGGTGTGTTTGTGTTCCTTGGTACACTGCTCCTTGCCAATGCCTCAGTTAATGCATCTCGGATTCTACATTCAAGACTGTTAGACAACATTCTCAGAGTTCCAATGCTTTTTTTTGACACTACACCAATTGGAAGAGTCGTCAACCGGTTTGCTAAGGTGAAGTATAATTGATTTATATATATATATATATATATATATATATATATATATATATATATATATANTATATAATGTATATTTCTGTTTTCTTCTCTGTTTTCCTGTTTGAAATAGTTTCTCAGTCATTATAAGTAACATCTTTACAATGAACACTAAAACTCTCCATATGCTTTTCCTGCAGGACATATTCACAGTAGATGAAGCCATCCCTCAATCGTTTCGTTCCTGGATCTTGTGTCTACTGGGTGTACTGGGAACATTGGTAGTGATTTGTTTGGCCACTCCTTTCTTTGCCATCATCATCATACCTTTGGCTGTGGTTTACTTTTTTGTACAGGTGAGTGAACCAAGACAAAGGGATATTGAAACAACATGAAATACAAGGTCCCTTAAAAATATATTTTTTACCTTTTTATCTGAATGCCAATGATGACTTTTGGCCATTATTGGGTGTATCTTAGTATCATCCATTCACCTAGTGGCATGCACCATTGATCCTAAAATACACTGTCATCAGAGATGTTCTTTTAGCATCAAGTATTGATTAAAATAAGCCCTCTGGAGGTGAACAGACATTTTAGCATTGGTGTCACCAGTTACCTTGCATATAACTGAATAATGGATAGGAGGCAACATGGTTAAGCAACCCTCATGCAAGATTCCCATTGTTTTCACCTGTACAAGGTAGATGGCCTATTTCCTCTTAAGTGTGCAGGCTGTGTCGATCAAACCGGGTACTTGCAATCTTCTCAGAGCACAAGCTGCTCTAATCTCAAGGCCAACATTCTCCCAATATTAGACTCTGCAGCACAATGAATGAAAATGCAGTGCTCTGAAATGCAAAAACTGAAATAACCTCTGAAAAAACCTTTTCTTTGGATATAGACTAGTAAATTAATTGATTTATTGACTTTATTGATTGATTGAGTTGAAAAAGATAGGACTTCACTGCATTCTACTTGAAACAAGCAAAATGCATTAAAGTAATGAAGATAATAAAAGCAGTATGTTTGATTACGTTTAACATGGATATTGCACTGTAGGTTTTTTAATGCTTTCTAAAATCATAAAAATATGTTTTTATTTATATTTTTGTTTTAACATTGGGTTTTCAAAGTGAATTAAAGGGCTTATATCATCATTTTTTGCAGCTTTTAATTTGAACAATTATGTGGTTTATTGGTGTGATACATGAAAATACATTGAAGTTATTTGATTATATTTGACTTCCTACATTGAAAAGATTTAAATCTAAATGTCATCTTTATCTTAAAAGAAGGGATTTTTTTCTTGAACTGAGGAGATAAGTGAGATACGTTGGCAATGGGACAAGACAATTCACACTTAAAATAAGAAAACAATGATTGCATTGTCTTACTTCAAGTGCATACTATCTAATTATCTTATATCAAGAGTAAATATACCCATTCCATTGGCAAATCATCCTATTTATCTACTCAACTACACATAATTTAAGATTTTTAAACTTATTTCTGGATCAATTTTGCAGTATAGCACATAACAGTTTATGGTGATTTATACAGAGAGAAGCAGACTGCTGTGAGAAGTGTTTGCTGAGTGGAGTGGTCTGGAGAGTTAGTAAAATTGGCTCCCCTCTTTAAATCAAGTCTGGGACCAAATAAGACTGACTTTTAAGGGAATTGCTTTAATCATACTAATATAATTGCTGCTGTAAAAATTTGCAGATAATCTGCCTGTTTTCTCTCATTAGCAGGCTGAGCTATAGGAGTTCTCTCAACTGGTTTCAATTGTCCATAGTATGTTTTTAGTTGGGTGCACTTCTACACTATTTAGGTAGATCAGCATTTCTATCCAAATGTTGGTGTAAAAGCAAAGTTTTAATGGTTTTAAAAATTGTTTAGTAGTAAACCAAAACAAAAGATGCAAGGCTCCTATAAAGACGGGCTTAAGGATAAAAAAAAGTGGTGCTTTGGTCTTCTACTTAACAAAAGATTATTTCCCAGGTGAGAACGATTGTACTTATCCCCATTTGTTTGCTTAGGTATTGGACCTACAGTAGTCAGCTGCTCCAGCTGTTGACGAACTCTACAGCAGGCATGCCCAAAGTTGTTCATCCAGGGCCACTCTTTTGCAGGTTGTTTGATTCTGATGAATCCAGCTCAGCAAAAGCCTATTATTCAGCTATCAATGAACATCAACTGTGCAAGAGCAGGGAAACCTCTAAAACCTGCAGGACAGCTGTCCTCAAGGACTGACATTGGGCATGCCTGGTCTACAGCATGAGACCTCCCTAAATCCCTAGAGATGAACTAAGAGAAGTTTCATAGGGAGGTCCCTCATTCTGCTCTTCACACCTTCGATTTAATGTTGTCAGTATTCATTCTCTTCTCTCTGGATCTCTCAAAAACTGGCTTTAGACCAAAAGCGTCCCCTCACATCTTATTTGCATACTTTCTATCTTTATTGGATTTGCCAAACCCTCCCTCACCTTTGCAAGGCAATACATTTTAATGGTGCTTATATGTTTGTCGTTTTCAAGCCCGTCATTTTCTGTTTCTCCCTGTCTTCTGTCCGGCTTTTGGGGAAATCCCCACAGAGCTAACTTTATCGCTCTTCTACCAAGAACTTTGTCTCTGATTCTGTCTCGATGCATTAATTCAAGAAAAATGGTCAACCTGTTTAGAGTATGGAAAGCTTGCAGCCAACAAAATATATACATAACTCACACACATGCAATAAAGTTTTCCCCCATTCCCTGAAATTACGTGCTGTAGGTGATCCTTGTTGAAAAAGTTTGATTTTTGTCAATTAAATTATTTGTAATTATTTATAGGTTTTCCACTGATGCCATTACAGACAATATATTAAAGGTCGTGGTAAAGGTCATAATAAAAATTGTCCATAATGTTTTTTTTCCCACTTTAAGTCTCTATCAGCTGAGTCCATTTTAACTTGATGAAATATATTTTTTCTCTCTACTTCCAGAGATTCTATGTAGCAGCTTCCCGGCAGCTACGTCGGCTGGACTCAGTGTCTCGATCTCCCATATACTCCCACTTTGGCGAGACTGTGGCGGGTCTGTCTGTCATAAGGGCTTATAATCATCAGGAACGGTTTCTGAAACACAATGAAGAAACTATTGATGAAAACCTAAAAAGTGTCTATCCGTGGATTGTGTCAAACAGGTCAGTAAGAGAAGACATTTCTTTTTATTCCTTCAATGTGTTTGTGGATTCTTGAATGATGTCTGTTCTCTTAACAGATGGGTCGCAATCCGTCTGGAGTTTCTTGGAAACCTTGTGGTGTTTTTTTCTGCACTATTTGCTGTTATATCCAGGGACTCCATCGACAGTGGCCTGGTTGGTCTGTCCATATCTTATGCCCTTAATGTGAGTCACTTCATCTAATGTATTAGGACACAATAAAAACAAACAAAATCAACACAGTAATTCAATCTCTGTTTACTGTTGTGATTTCCAGGTTACTCAAACACTCAACTGGCTGGTAAGGATGACATCGGAGCTGGAGACTAATATTGTTGCTGTGGAGAGAGTCAGTGAATACTCTAAGCTTGAGAATGAGGTATGCTGTCTTTAATTCAGAGCTCCATAATGTACTCAAAAATAACTACGTAGAAATAGCTCAACAGAAAATGAGTTTGGTAAACATGAAAGTTACTGAAAGGTATAGTGGAGGTTGTTCTTTTTCCAGGTGGATCATCAAAATAAGTGGTCCTCCTGCACAAGGAGAAATGGGCTTGTGCATGCTCTCACACGTCTAATAGGCGTTCCCTCTCTGGAGTGGGTACAGGGTTGTGCATGTGCATTTCTTTTTAAGTGGAGAGGGCGGCTCTTTTCAAAAATTGCAAAAATCCTCCACTTTAAGTAAAAGTTAAGTCAGAAATTTCCTCACAATACTTTGGAAATTAGGGTCTTTCTCCATGGAGTTTGCATGTTCTCCCTGAGTATGCTGGGGTTCTTCCCGGGTACTCCAGCTTCCTCCCACAGTTCAAAAACATGACTGTTACGTTAATTGGCTTCTCTAAATTCTCCTTAGGTGTGAGTGTGTCTATGAATAGTTGTTTGTCCCGTTTGTCTCTGTGTTGCCCTGCAATGGACTGGTGACCTGTTCAGGGTGGACCCCGCCTTTCGCCCATTGGCAGGTGGAAATAGGCAACAGCACCCCTCGTAACCTGAGCAGGGATAAAGGGTGACGGAAAATGGATGGATGGATGTGGTACTAGGTACTTTTGTACATAAAAAGAAGCATGACAAACAGTTTTTTTGGTCCCTTTGCTTCCCTTAATTAAAAACAATGCAGGTAGAAGTTATTGAAAACCTGCTTTAGCCCTCATGGCATACTGAAACAGTACTGTCTATAATTAGTCAGAATAATGCAAAGGCCATCATGTCAAATGACATGCATCCACAATTGTGGTGTCTGTCTGGGAAAACTAAAAGTTCTTTCTGTAAGAATACATTGAAATTTATCCAGTATGTCTCGGAGAGGAAACAAACTAAAGTGTAGTGTGTCAAAATAACTGACAAACAAAACAAGAACCCCACATTAGCACCAATAATGCAGAACAGTTTTGCAGGATCTATGGTTTATCAGCCTTAAAGGCAATATTTTGAATAAAATGTATTAGTATAAACACGTTTCTAACCCCTCTAATGAAATGCAAGAAATAATTGTTTTGGTTTTTTAAGAGGCATACTAATGAAAAGAAATGAAAACGCTTTGAAAACAACAATGTTGTGCATCATCCCTACTGTTCTTCTCTTCTTCACATGCAAGTTCCAGTCAAATTTTTATTTGTTGTTACAATGTTTCAGATTTTTAAGTAAAGGGGAATTTGTATTTCTCTATTATAACAAAATTAAAGTTGGAGTCTTGATTAAAAAAAAAACAGTTAAGCACAGATCCTCAAAAAATGATTTGTATTTAGTTATTATACATTTCTGCTTTCAGTATTTCACCACTATTCTCGCTGTTTCTTATTTTGTCATGTGGACAGCAGAAGCTGACCAACCATGTGGACTGGTGTTTTGGAAACACGTTATAGTTGTCTAAGCATGAGAAATTTATAGATTTTAGCATGCTGATTGTATAATGAGAGCAACAAGTTGGAATTCATCATGTTCTGCTGAATCCATGACTGGATATGTTGCTGTTCAATTAATCTTTGTTTTTCTCCAACATGTCCTGATTTCATATATGTGCCAGTGCTGTTTTGTTTAACAGAACCAATATATAGATGTTATATGTTGGTAATTCAATTCCTTGACTGACTTATTGAATCAGGATGTCATCTGGTTTCATTTTAGATAGTTTGCAATGCGGAATATGAACCTGTGTTGGATTCTCCAACTAGTCAGATGATTATTAATTCAATTCCATTCAGTTTATTTATATAGTGCCAATTCACAACATATTTCCTCTCAAGGCACTTTACAGTTCACCAGATCATACAGTGAAATTGATTCAAAATTTTCTATCTAAGGAAAACCAGTTGATTGCATCGACTCATTAACTCGAATGCAATTACCCAAATTTATAAAGCTGAAAGACAAGCCTTTTACTTTGAGCCTTTTATTTTTACTTCGAAGCATCCAGCCTCCCAATATCACGATATTCTGCATAGCATGGAGTGAAATCATGTCTGATGAATCAGTTTCTCTACAGGCCCCCTGGGTTACTCAGAATCGACCTTCAGAGAATTGGCCAGAGGAAGGAAGGGTGCAATTTGAAGACTATAAGGTCCGTTATAGACCTGAACTGGAGCTGGTCCTGAGAGGGATTTCTTGTAACATCGCCAGCAAAGAGAAGGTTTGTATTTGAGTTCTGAAAAAATATGAAATCAATCTTGTATAATTTGGAACAAACCTTTTGAATCAAAACCCCTGAACCAAAAGAATCCCTTTTATACCAACAGGGCTGTTAGTGGAAGGCTCGTTATGTCTAGGTTTATTTAGCAAGTAATCTAAACAATCTGAATTTCATTTCATTATCAGTAAGGAAACTACTTTTAAATTCTTTGATTTTCAGGTAAGCTGGTCTAATTGTACTACAAATTGAAGATCAAAAAGTAAAACTAAACAAGACAGTTAATCTGAAGATTCTAGTTTGTTTTTATGGAGCAAAATTATACTTTAAGGATATGAAAAAGGCATCCAGGCTTTGTTTCCCACACCTTGTTTCTAGATTTAAACTTACCAGCTGTGAATATACTTAATTTAGTATAATAGAATACAGCTCAGTCGATAAACTTTAACCCCAAAAGTCAAGCACTGAAATCAATCCATCCTTGAATAAGACATCAAAGAGGGACAGTATTGACCAAAAGGTAATGCTCTGTTATGGACCACTGTTTGTCCTGATTAGTATTTTTCTTGCCTGTCCTCACAGTAAATGTTTGGTTACATAGCCTCATAGACAGCAAAGCCAAACATGGGTCACAAAAATAAAAAAAATATTTTCTTATGGACATAATAATATAAGGTTTTCTAAACGAATCATAACACAATGCTGAACCTAAAGCACAGCTAGGGCAGCAGGTATTTCAGCCTTTCAATCATTGGGCACTATAACAGACCTACCATACCCTTTTCTTTAACTCTGCCTTTCATCTTTAGGATGCAGCATTTATCTCTTGTTTACTCAGGTGGTCTCAGATGGTTTATTTGTGGTTTAATATGGCCACCAATATAGGTTTTCCTGGATTTTTTCTTTGTTGATGCATTTTGAATTTCTTTAGGATTTCAGGAGGTTTTTTTTTATAAGTACAGAAACTATTGCTAGAAAAAGAGAAGAAAATATTGTATATAAAAATATTAAATTTCTTGTAGGACTAAATGAAACAGAATTGATTAAAAAATCTTAGCAATGGAATGTTGTAATTAGCTATAATAATCCAGGTCATTTAGGGTTGATTCATTTTAATCAAAATTGATCTAATCAAATATGTATTGCTTGGAAAACTGATAATATTGCAATGAATTAAACTAAATTACTTACAAAAGACTCTAACCATGAAACAGTTTCATTATCTGTTTTATCTTGAAAAAGCAAATATTTTGGGGGTGCAGTGTGCTGACATGACAAAGGGAAAATGAAATCGAATCTGCATTCATGTTATCATGCAACATTGAAATTATGGTAAAATCATTTAGTGATGTAAATCCAGAGAAATGTGAGGAACTTATTTTTCTGACCTCAAGTAGGTTGATTTAGTATTTTAATCAAACATTACTGATCTTGAGTGACACTCAAGTTGACCATGCTCCATGAGTAGAAGCCTTTTTGTAAAAAAAGAAAAGCCAGACCACTTTGTTGATACTCAGCTCTATGCATATGAACTTGAACTGGCAGCTGAACTACCAGAAAGAAATTAAAGCTGTTCAGTTTCTCATTCCTATCATGAGGTCTATCATAGCATAGTTTAAAGTGAATAATCTACCCTCTGTTGATAAGACCTCGTTCTCCTGTTTTACAAACCGCCCTGTGTAGTTGGAGGAAAGAAGTAGAGAGCAAGTACCCATAACCAGACTGGTTGTATCAGAGTAGGGGAACTTGATTAGGAAACCTTCTTTTTTCCAGCGTATTATTGTCATTACACTGTCACAAGTACAAAGCAGCAAAATTAACTCTCTACGTTTAACCCTTGGGGAGTTATGGGCTGCCGGGCTAAGTGTTTGCTCAGGGACCCAGAGTGGCATTCCGTTGGAGTGGGGCTCGAACTCAGAACTTCAGGCTTCAAAGCACAATGCCCTAACCACTAGGCCACCAGCCACCAAAGCAGGCATTAACGTGAAGGGTCTTTCCTAAGGCCCCACACTGGCAGCTCACTCCCCCCAACTGGGATACGAACCCAGGCCTCCTTTTTGAAGGACAGGCGACTTACCCGTTAGCTAGCCAGCCGCTCTGCAATATATATATAACTCTACAAATGCATCACACTCTGCAATAAACTCTCAGATTGCTAATATGGTCAGGATTAGCCTGAATACTTAGTTTTGATATGACTTGTTTATACCTTGGCCGATGCATAGTTTAGTGTTTCTGTTTAACACAGAAAATCTTAAGTGTTTTTTTTTTTAACAAACTCAATATTGTTATAGCTGTAAAATTTATTTTACTAGTGCAAGGTGCACCAAGACTTTCTCCCTCTGCGACACTAATATGCAGTATGTCTTTGCATACGTGGCTTGACGTGACAAAGCAGATCACTTGCTGCAGTTTAGGGCATATAAGGCAACATCAACAAGTATCAGGAGTTGAATTTCTTCATTGACCCCTGATACACATATTCCAAGGATTTTTTTTTATCTGATGGACACATCCCTAATTGAATTCAAATGCAAAAATAAATAAATATAATAGCATAATGCTGTTATTGGCTTCAGTGGGTGTAGGGAAGTTTTAAATGACTGCATAGATTGTTTTGTGATAGAAAAACTCATTCCAAAAGATAAGTCATGCAAGTAATTAAGAGATCTTTTTATGATTTAAATATGTAAAAATTTTTACTTTCTTCCCCTGTATCTAGATTGGTATAGTTGGTCGCACAGGAGCTGGAAAATCAAGCTTGACAAACTGCCTGTTTCGCATTATTGAAGCAGCTGACGGACGTATCCTCATTGATGGTCTAGATATCTCCACAATTGGGCTACATGATCTAAGAAACAGGCTCACAATCATTCCACAGGTAAACATCAGAGACAGAAACGTGCAGATAAAACATTTTCTTTATGATCCGTACTCTAACCTATCTGATTCTCTGAGGACAGGATCCAGTCTTGTTCTCTGGAACTTTGAGGATGAACTTGGATCCATTTGACAAATTCAGTGATGAGGACCTCTGGAGAGTCCTTGAACTATCTCATCTGAAGGATTATGTTGTTGGGCTGAAGGAAGGATTACAGCATGAGGTTGCAGAAGGAGGAGAAAACCTCAGGTGGGCAGCATTGTTTTAAACAAGACTGACAATTCAAACCAAGTTAAATAAAACAGAGAAATGTGCAGCTGAAATTCTTTGTTTTTTTGCAGAGAACAATAATTTAAATGTGATCATTCAGAAAAAAAAACTTTTTCCATACAGAAGTTCCTTACCAATCTCAGACATTTGTATCAGTTGACCATTTCCCATATGTGTCAATGCTTTAATCATGGCCAGTCCTGATGAGTGTTCATATGTGATTTTATTTTTCTTTCTGAGAGCAGTAAAAGAGTTTGAATATGTGTTTCTCTCTTTCCAGTGTCGGACAGCGGCAGCTGCTGTGTCTGGCTCGAGCTCTGCTTAGAAAGTCTCGGATCCTGATCCTGGATGAAGCCACAGCAGCCGTTGACCTGGAAACAGACAACCTGATTCAGAATACCATTCGCAAGGAGTTCTCCCACTGCACAGTGCTCACCATCGCCCACCGCCTGCACAGCATCATGGACAGCTCCAGGTGAGTCCAAGTCCAGCACAGAAGCCTGTCTGTCCTGATTTTATTCTTTCTTTGACTAAGTTGGGCAGGCACAAATCGTGTTAATAAAAATTGATCAATATGTCGTCAAACCATCTTTATCTTTAGACTTGGTTCAACAGTTACTATAGAGGAAACAAAGTATAGGAGCACATTTGAGTATACAAAAGTTACTAGAATCTGAAGTTAATGCAACTATAAAATTGTGCATTCTATAATTATTATGAATTAATTTACATGCAAATACTTAATCCATTTCTTCTAAACTGGCTAAGTAACAGAAACAATTTACAGCAGGAATTATAATTTATAATAAAACATCGTTTGAAGCACGGCAACCATCAGAGGAGGTTATTTCGTTCAGGGTTCCTGTGGATAATGTGGTGCTCAGAACTTGACCCTAAAACAAAACCGTATCGGCAAGAATATTTTTGTTTCCAGAAATAGTCTTTTTTTCTGAACATATACTTTCTTAGTAGGATATATATATATAAAAAAAAGAGTTGTAATATGGGGATGTACTGTATATACTGTATATCCATGCACCTTTTTCCTCCTTTAGCATATTCTTCTTTGACTATTTGAGCTGATGTAACAAGTATATTTCTCCACTGCGAGTTCAGTAAAGACAATCAATGAATCAATTCAAATATACAAAAAAGTGCAAAATTAATACTTTCTTATTTGGGATTATGTGAGAAATTTGAACCTCTCAATTCTTCCGAGGTATATAGGCTTCATAAACTTTGGTGATTTTTGGGGTTTTGTTTCATATTTTCCAAATAAATATATTTATACTTTAAAATACAAAATCAAAGAATTTTTTAAAGTTTGGATTCATGCAGATATTATTCCAGCAGCTGTGAGGGTGAAGTTGGTCCTTTGTGTGAGGGTCAGGGAACAGGGAGTCAAACATGAAAACACAGACAGACTTCAAAGTCTGGATGTTACAGCAGCACCACTAAGGCAGAGGGAGAGGTGAAGCGAAGGGATCATTTTCTATATTGTTGTAAATCTGCCATCCATATTTTAAAGCTACAGTGTGTAATAATTACAGGGATATACAGTCAGAAATGTAATATATTATACATAACTACGTTATTTATCATCATCTACGAGCTCAGCCTCTTAGAATTTGTTGCCTTAGAATTGCCTTAGAATTCGTTATTTATAATTACATAGGAGCGGGTCTCGCAGCCATGGAGGCAGACATCTTTGCGCTACGGCAGCGCAGAGCCAACAAACTAGCGATTGTGAGATTGCCCATTAAGCTCGAACTACGGCAAGTTGAGAGAGATGAACTGAGACGGTACTGAACAATAAATAATCTATACCCTACACAGACTAATGAAATACTATCTGTAAAATTATCTATGTAAACAAACCTCATCACTTGAGAAGGTAGGTGATGCGGACGTCGTGGAAGACATTTTGTCCTGTAACGCTCGCCGTACTGTTGGGGGGGAGAAGCGGTGGGGGGGATATGTTCATGTTGCTGCGGTCTGCAGTCTGGACGTTAGATGTCGCTGAAAATTACACACTGTAGCTTTAAATTTTCGTATTGAAAAGTAATATGTTGAAATATGCTCAAATAAAAAAAATATTTTTCTTCTGATGCACAACAGTGACGAAAATTAATATGAAAAATCTTAAAAGTGAATATTAGACTCTCTCTTCAAATGTTTGCGCTGTTCATGTTGGTTTCATCACAGCCAGTATGAACTCCGCTCAGTTGGATATGATGTTGACACATTTTTCTGCTCCACAGGGTGATGGTTCTAGATGCTGGTCAAATCGTGGAATTTGATACTCCAAGCAATCTGCTGGAAAAACGAGGCCATTTTTACTCCATGGCAAAGGATGCTGGGATAACACAACAAACCGCATCTGCTTTCTTTTGAAAAGTTCTTTTAATTTTTCTTTTAGGTTTTTTTTCTTTTTCAATAACACACATTGCAAAATGTGTTGTATTTATAGGAAACAATATGAAGGAATTATGCTTTGCATGTATATAATATTTGTAAAGGTTCAATAAATGATCTTTTTGACCTAATGCCTCAATAGAAAGTCTATATCACCCGCCTCCCTATTCAGATTTTGAATGAACAGTTTGACATTTTGTTGTATGTTTCTTTAATCATTTTTTCACTCTGTCTCTATGTAGAATAAATAAATTTAGATTTGTAAAAATCATCAATATTTATAAACAATCAGTCCTAAAAAAAAAGAAAATACTGTTATATAAAATAAGTCTAAAATAGAAACTTTTTTTACTGGTCACATTGAGCAGTGAAGTAGACACATAAAGACCTTTGACAGAGCGGCTATGGAAGACATAAATTGCCCCAATCTAATTAATTGTAGTGATTTGTTAAACGTATGTATAAATATAAGAGATTTTGAATTTTTCTGCATGTATGACCTTGTTAATAGTCCCATCCCCAAGTTAGATTGGTTGGTTTTTCATATGACATAATTAAGCAGTGAATGATCAGCAAAGCCTGCTTTAACCAATTTAATAGACCACTTTTTGTTTACAAGACCACAAAAACCAAACAATAATCAAAGGTTAAATGTCACATACCATTGTAAAAGGGTCATACAATTCAAGCAAGTAACAAGACAGTAAGGAAACTAATTTGAAAGGATAAAGTAGAAAAGACCGGTTCAGGCTTCAAAGCCTCAGTGTGATCAGCTTAGAGTTATCAGTGCGTATCACAGATTTTAGACTTTGTGGCAAGGATTGATCTGATTGCTTCCACATTTAGAGAAGCACAAAAGGCTTAAAACCTTTGCAAAAAATTGCTTTATGCTCTTTCCTCCTGAACACTCCCGCTGCATCCTACTATGCTGCTCAAAAGATAAAGGTCTTTTTTTTCTTCTCATAGATAAATGGGATCTAACTAACTATAAAGGTTTAGAAACACTGCAAAGTTGAGGGGGAATTATGCAAACTTCCTATTTGTTGTAATTCATTAACGTTCAAAGTGTCAAGAAAATCCTGGAGACTGTACTGCAGTTTTAATCCTATCGCTAAGATACGGTCGAAATTTTTTTCTACTTTATACTCAATGGTAGAAACTCAGTGGACATGGAGATGGAAACCTTGTGAAGTTTAAAGCAAGCATTAGAATGGAAAAGAAAATGGGTTCAACTGACTTTGATCATGGGATGGTTATTTATGCAAGACTGGTCTGAGTTATAAAGAAACTGCTGATTTACTTAGACTTACACATACACATTACACATACACTTTAAGGTACAGAGACATAGATCATATTCAGCAAGCTTCATTAGTCGATGCAAATTTATCTTATTAAAATGAAAGCAGAATAATCAGACTGCTTTGAGATAATCAAACGGCAAAAACACTTATTATTGTACAGTACCAACAGTAGAAGACCATAACATGTGTTTCCTGTTAGATAAGAACAGGAAATTGCTGGTGCAATTCCCACAGGCCCAACAATACAATACCAGATTAAATAAACAATCATTTTCAGTGCAAGAGATCTAATTAACCGGGAACATTCAGATGGCATGCTTTGAGTTTGCCAACAACACTATGACAGCATGGACTCCTCCCTGAATGAGTCTATCCATGTATAACTACGGTTTACCATCTTCTGATGTCTCCTTCCAGCGGGGTAATCCATCATATTCTTTGCTGAAATGTTACTATGAGTTCACTGTACACAGCTGTTTCCAGAGCCTTTGAGAGTTGCGTGCAAATCCAGATTCACATCATAGATTTGCAGCTAACATATAAATATGGACCCCAATCTGTGCAAGATGTTTCCCAAGACTCTTTCAAATAATTTCACAAACAAACATGCTATGTAGGTATTGTGCCCTGCATCTTTGGCCTGTTTAGGAACCATTTGATCTAAAAAGAAAAAGAAAAACATTACTTTCACCGGTCCTCAAAAAATGTCATTCAGTTTTTTTCCCAAGGGATGTTATTTGGTGTTCCACCCTTGATGGGGCTGTAAACATAAAGCTTTCATACAGATACATGTGTTCTGGTTGATGGATAGACACTGACTGAGTCTTTACCATTTTGGCCGTTCTTTGAAAATTCATTTTTCACCATATTTATTTTAATTTTAATTTTAAAACATTTAGGGCTTTCCTTTTTTCTCAATTATTTAATTTTTCCCTCTACAGTCACTTCACTTGTTAAGCTCCATGCCGCTTTTGGCTTAACTATGTCCTTTAAGTTAAAGATTTAGTTACAATGAATAAAAGGCATGCATACCACTGGGTTCTTTCTTTTCTGTTGCCACCACACAAACTATTCATTATAGATGTGAAAATATAATATCAACCAAAAACAGTTGCTGATCTGCTTAATGACATGGAAAATCTCACATTCAGTTGTTTACTTCCATGTCTGAATCCCTGTCCTTTCTCCCCTGCCAACAAATTTAAATGTGATTTTAAATGCTCAAACAGAAATGGTTGTTGAAATAAAATTTTTTTGCACTTGCATGGATCTCAGCCCCTGATAAACATACTTTATCATTTAGGTCCCAACATTCTGATAAACAAGCTGCCAGCTTGCTTTGGAGGATTTGCCTGGTTGTGTCCTTTGTTTGGTTTTTTTAACGCTAGCCAAGGATTATTAATCAAAATTGTCTTTTTTGCTATGTCATTAAACTGATATGTCTTTTCTGAGGAACATTTTATTGCTCTTTCATGGGGTTGTGATTGTCTAAATTGGCTTCTTTATCATAAAACATAGTTTACTGACAATTTGAGATTTACCACAGATGTAAAATGACATTTGCAATTCTCCTTTGCATATTTAGCCTCATATCAGCAATACCGGTGGAAATCTTTAACTGCAGATTTTTTAATCTGTTTCTCACAGCTGGTTCATAAAGATTTTGTTCATAGTAATGATCATTTTTCTACTAATTTGCTATACTTTTTTTTTTGTCATTATGCATTTACTATTCACAGAGGATATTCCTCATTGTTTGGAGTTTACCATGGTCATTTAGCTGTACAGTATGTTTCGTTTTTGCAAACTTTTACAGTCTTTTATGACTTTTAAATTCATAATATTAGAGTCAGAGAACACCAAATCTTTGGCCATGATCCATGCACTTATGCAGGATTCCTAACAATGGCATGCAGATAAAACATCATATAGTAGTGTTAAAATATTCTTTCACAAAGCCAGTTTCAACAGCTTTTGATTGTCTGCAAACTTTGAACTCTAGACTCATTTGCTAAGACTTTGTTTGTTTTACAAATGCATTTTATGCTGACATTTTTTCTAATTATTTAAAGCAAAAGATATTTATTACAATGAAATGTATTTGATTTTCTTAAAGAACAAAGTCTGAATGTTAAAATAGTTTGTCGTTGTGTATTTGATTTACATTCTTTCACATGAGTAGTGTTACAGATGTTAGTTATCTTCTTCTCTCATTGTTCTCATATTTTATTTCCCAAAACTCATGTTGTTTCTTAAAATATCATATCAAAGTAAAAACTTGGCCATCCCTGTGTGGACTGAGGTTATAAATCTAAGCAAAACACTTAAATCTCTATTCTACCAGATGAGCGATGTGTCTGTTCCCTAAGTCCCCTCCCTTTAAGAAAAGACCATTTAGCAGTCAAAACATGTAACCTTAGCAACTGTGATATTGGTAGTGATTAAAGAACAGGTTTGCTATTTCTAATAGTTAATATTTCTGTCTGACCATTTTAATAGATGTCAGTAATGCAAAATGTCAATATCCTGTGTATAATGTAACATATTGTGTTTCTTTTAAAGATTCTTAGCTTAATGAGATCTGCTATGAAAGGAAAAAAATTGAGGAATGATCCTTAAAGTTGAACATCTTTCCTTCATAAAATCAATAGTTTTGAAGCTTCATTTACACGCACAAAATTTTACCAGCTTCAGTTATGACTACGATGTCTTTTTAAAAGATGGGAGAGAGGGAGGAGGCTGGAATCATAGAGGGAGTAGGAGAGCCTTTCAAAGCTTGAGCTTTTTATTTCTAATTTTTGACCGAGAAGAAAGCTGCTGGTATTTTTTCTGCATCCTCCCTCAGAAAGGTGAGTCTAATTATTACTTATCTGAAATACATGCAGGGAGGCTTTTTTTCTGTCTTTACAGTCTGAGTGGCTCAGTAGGTCGCACAAGTTAATTATATTTTTAAAAAATATCTATAGAGAAAAAAGGATTTAGTAGAGAGAGTATTTACTGCTTAGTGTTCTGCAATTAGACTTATTATTGTAGATAATTCAGGTGCTGTGGATGGTGGAGTAAATCACTCTGAATTGTTTGTATTAAAAAATAAGAATAATTTTATTAAAACTATCACTGTTTCTTGATCATATACTTTGTGAAAATGCATGTTTTGACAGTGGAATCAAATGTGCTATTTCCTTTTTAGAGGTAAATTTTTGTTTGTTTGTTTATCAATCCAATCTTTTATGTAATATCTTTAATAATTATATAAAATTCCACTACAGAACATGGTTAGAATATTACCTATTTTCTGCTCTCAGATTTTTCAAATGCTTTCAGACATGCCCAAACAAATATGCACCAGATTTGGAATTTTTGGAATCGTTATTTTATAGCATAAATCAAAATTTATCTTAAAATGAACTAAATCATTACATTTTATTTTATGATTACATGGTAATAATGTATTTTTAATAAAAATGTATTCAACACAGAGCTCTTCAGAGGATCTTACCACAGCTCCTACCTGCCTGCTTCAACATGAACAGCTCAGAGCAGATTTCATTCCTCTTCAGCTGTAATGTCAGCCCCAGCGAAACGCCAAAGCTCGACATCAGCGTCACCAAAAGTGAACCGCTGAGAATCGCTGTCCCCATGACCATCTTTTACAGCCTCGTCTTCTTGCTTGGAGTATGTGCACTCGCGTCATAGGACACAAAATTGAGACTTAAAAAAGCATGAAATGCTAATGATCCAAAGTGCTTCCTCTTTGATTGCTTTACAGGTTGTATTCAATGGTGTGAGCATGCTGACCCTTCTTATGGACGCTCATATGAGAGTCAGTGCCATTCGTGTCTATCTTCTGAGTCTGGTTATTTCAGGTATCTGCTATGATTTATCACCTCCTCTGAAGTTTAATCTCTGACACCTTTCACAGTGAAAGTGATGCTTTCATCATGGTTCTGAAAAACAGAAAAAATATATATTATATTAAAAAATCTCAGCTTCTTTTGCTTAAAACTGGACTTTTGATGTTTTGGTGCTTTATCTTGACACAATGAGAAGTTAAAGACAAATTTGCTCTATGACTTTAATGACTACCCTTTCCTTTTTTACTATTTAGACCTTCTACAGCTGTTGACCATCCCAGTCACTTTATATCGCTATTACTGGGAGAGCTATCCATGGCGCCTCGGCCAAGCAGTGTGCAAAGTGTACTTCATGGTCCGCCAGATGTACTGTGCCTCCACAAGTTGGGTTATTGTAACCTTTACCACAGAGCGTTATGCAGCGATATGCCACACCATGTGGTCTGTCTCCAGTCTGAAGGTGCGGCACCCGCGTCACAAAGCTGTGCTGTTTGTTCATGACAGAAGCTCAAGGCCACTTGCAACCTCTGTCTGTGGGTTTCTGTCCCTGATGTTTTTGATATCAATAAGAATATTTTTTCTCAAAGGAGTTTGATCCTGGCAAAATATGTGATCAAATAAGATATGATTCTTCATTTTCCATTAAATGTATATAACCTGCTAAGTTTTTTAGTTAAAAAAAGCAATACCTACTGTACACTTCCTAAAATGCACTCTGCACATAGAAAAATGACACCACTTTAATAGATAGTAGTCTTTGTGCAGAGAGCTGACCAGCAATGTGCAACAAGTGGAAGAGAAGTATTTTTACATTCTATATTCTATGAAAACTGATCACTGTGACCCTTTTTTCTAGCATTGATCTAACATAGCAGGAAAGGCGGCATTGAGATCTTTAACTCTTTTGAAAAGGCAACTTTTCAAAGCTTGGTAATACAGAATTTGTTGTTATGTCTGCTGTTTTAGTCTTCATATCGTAGGACTCGGGGTATAACAAACAAATATTAGCTAGTTATTTTCTCTGTTACCTAGCCTTGGTCACCTTGCAGATAATTTTCCTAATTTATAAATAAAGCCAAAGTGGTGTATACTGTATATTCCATTAATGTGTGTTGATACATATCCACCATGTATTACCCTGTAACGATTTGGCTGCCATCAGGGGGTCAGAGTTATGTCGAGTTATAATGCCTAATTCTTCTAGTATGGAAACTAAATACCTGAATTTATATCTGTATTATGTTGGCTATTTTTATTGGCCACTTAACACAGGTATGAATTCACAAGCAGAACTATTTTCATAAAGAAAAATCTGTCTTTCTGTTACACAATTAGGGTAAAGTTTAGTCGCCTTTTTTCCACTAGTTGATGCTGGTTGTGCGTTATATAGGAAGGAACAGCTTCCTCTATAACATAGGTTTTAAAAACCATGACAAAGAAACTGGAATATGTCTGAAAATGTTCCAATAAAAGATTTTTATTTTGAGCATCAGTCCCTTCTTCAGACTGAATGGAACCTGCACCTTTAATGCCCGCAGTGTTCACTATGAATTACCACATTTCTTGCTTCATTGACTTTTCAGCCTCGCAGTGTTTCTCTATGTGCATTAGTGAATCATTGTTTCCCATTTCTTGACTGATCATGATTACTGCCCTGTGTCCCTCTCGGTAATTAGTGATCTGAAGAAAGGCTTATGAAAGAAAGGCTGCAATAATAACTGCATTCCCCCACATCTCTCTCCTCTGCGTCTTAAAGAAATCTCGGCTGCCATGCCTCATCACCGTGTGGATTGTTTCCTTGGTCTCAGCTGTGCCATTTGCATTGGTTTATGACCAGGCACATGCCTGCATCCTGGACTACACAGCAACAAAGCAGGAAGATGCCTTCAAGGTGTCCACCATGTGCGAAATGACAGAGCCTGATCCTGCACACATCTACAAAGGAGCTTTACTTTTGAGAGCAGGGCTCTTCTTTCTGGTGAGACCAGTTTGATGTGTTTGATCTGTGTTTCAGCATCAGAAATGGACATTCAATATTCCTGTGTGACTTCAGGTCCCTCTGGTTTCCATCTTTACACTCTACATGCTCATCCTTCTCCACTTACGAAGGAATGGTCATCAAAGGAGGAACATGGGCCTTATGAGACCAGACTTTGAAGGAAGGCGGGATATTCAGTGCCATCGGAATGGAAAGCTACTTTCTAATGAAAAGAAGGCTTTAAAACTTATGGGTGAGCAAAGATAAATTCTAAATATTGATTTCCCGTAAAGGTTACAGTGTAACAGTATCCTTCACTTTCTTCTTTAAAACTCAGGGACAAAAGTATTTCATCAGGAACTGTTATTTAAACTATATGTATGTTTGTGTTTTCTCAGGTGCAGTCGTGGTAGCTTTCTTCCTCTTCAACTTTCCAGATATGGCCTCATCACTGATGCAGGTCTATGTAGTAGTGTGGTCAGACACAGTCCTTTCTGTCTATACTGTCCTGAAATCATATTTATCCCTTCCTCTGTGGTACATCAATGGTGCTCTGGACCCGCTTCTCTTCTGCATTTCTTCTCACACATTTCGCAGGGCCTGCTGGAGAACTTTGAGGAGGCTTAGACCTCGCTGTTACTGGAACCACCAAGGTCTGTCTTGGCGTAGGACACCCAGTTCCAGCGAGGATGCGAGTACAGTGACCACAGAACAAAAGAAACAAAGAAAACTGGATATAGATATAAGACATATGAAATTAAACTGACAAATATTATACATATTAAACTCACAAAGATAATAAATAGGAAGGATTATTATCAATAAAAACTGGAACAGCACAGATCCAATATTCAAGGGACCTGGAAAATATCAAACAAAAGAATTAGAAATGTAAATGAAAGTCGACATAATCCAAACAACTTTCTAAAAGATGACATTTTCATAGATGATATTAAAGAATTAACAAATGTTAATGATTTTTTGGTAAATGTTGGGCCTGTTTAATCAAATAAAATCATAGAGCGAAGGGAAACAAAAGCTCTAAATAAGGAGACCATTAGAAGAAATCCTAATTCGGAGGGTACACAAAAGTGCAATTATACAAATAGTAAGACAGTTTAAAAATAAACAGCCTACAGACAGCTCTGACATAAATAGGATGTTGGTTAAAGATATAACAAACTATGTAGTAAGACCATTCACATATATTTGTAATCAGTCCTTTATCACTGGCATATATTCCATAGCAAAAAAAGTGTTAAAGTAATTCCATTCTTTAAAAACAGCAACCGACATCAGTTCACTAATTACAGGCCTATCACCCTAAACTGCCAGTAGCCAGATTGATATGTGTAGGACTTAGCTGAGTTGAAAACTGAGATCTCATGAGAAACCAGGAAGTAACCTTCTTGTGCAAAGTTACTATTGCCCTGCTCCCGCAATTTTCCAAAATCTTGAAAATAATGTTTGCGGAAAGGCTTGACACTTTTATAGAGAAAAGTAACTTATTGAGTCAGCATCAGTAAAATGGCTTTCATGAAACCGGTTGAAGACATTACAACGGCAACCGATGGTAAATGGTAAATGGCATGTACTTATATAGCTCCTTTTTTCAAGTCAGGAGACTTGATCTAAGCGCTTTAAACTACATTAATTCACCCATTCACGCACACACTGATGGTGGCAACCTACATTGTAGCCACAGCTGCCCTGGGGCTCACCGACAGAAGTGGGGCTGCCGTACACTGGCGCAACCGGGCCCTCTGACCACCATCAGTAGACAATGCAGGTGAAGTTTCTTCCCAAGGACACAACGACAATGAAAGTCGGAGCCGGGGCTTGAACCATCAATCCTTCGATTTCAGGGAAAACTCCTACATCCAACGCCACTGTCGCACCAATCTTATTATTATCGCCCCAAACCGATAATAAACAATACAGAGTTGTTGTTTTTTTATTGATTTAAGCAAGGCTTTGACACTATTGACCATAGAGTGCTGCTAAAAAAAATGTAAAAGTACGGCGTCAGATTTGGAGGTCATTTTGTGCATGTGAACAATGTTAATTATTACGAAATAGTTATTAGACATGGAGTTAAAGTGTATATTGTTTGCTGATGATACAAGTTTCTACTGCTTAGGAATTTGATTAACTCCTGATACAGTGGAGGAAGAGGTAAAATATTAAAAAAAAAAAGATTTGATATTAACAAATTATCACTGGATTTTAGTACATTTTTGGAAAGTGGAAAATTAAGAAACTTACAAAAATAAGAGTTGTATATACAGAAATAGAAAGGTATGTGAAAACATATTCTAAGGTATTAATATTATTGACAGTGAATTAAGTTGGAAATCATATTTTAACATCTTAAGGAAAAAATATCTAAAACAATTGCTATAATATATAAGACGAATAAATGTATAAATTAAAATTCGCTTTAAAATCTGTATAGTTCTGTTCTTTCATACCTCAGCTATTCTGTAGAAATATGGGGAAATGATTATAAATAAAATGATAATCCTTTAATTACTTCAAAAGAAACCAGTTAGGATTATCCATGAAGCAGAATATTTTTCCTCAACATTTTTTTTTTTTTTTTATTAAACTAAATGTGTTAAAAATACACACGTTTGCACACAATTGCATCCTTCCACAGGGTATCCATGAGATGTTCATACAAAAACAGAATCAATGTCATTTAAGAGGAACTAGAATATTAAAGAAAACTAAGATAAAAACTATTCAAAAATATAATTTAATTTACTGGAGTAAAGTTATGGAATCTACTGCATGATGGATTATAAGTCTGTACCTCCATTAAAAGATTCAAAAGGATGTATAAATCCCAAACTACAGATGCATCGAAAGTTACTGATACGGATTAGTAGTAAAAATTGTTAAATATGTAATAATGAGTGCAAAAAGAATCTTCCCACGAGGATTCTAGAACAATAGATAAACTCTACAATGAAAGATGACAATAAACAATTACCTTATGAAAAGATAGAAACAACAAAAATAAAAAACAAATTAAGGAAACTAAAAAAAACTAAGAACATGCTTTGTTCATTTTTTTTTCTCTCTCATCTCCGCCCTCTGAACATTTACAAATGTTTGTGTCTTTTTCTTCTCTCCACATCATCTGCCCTTGCTTGCTATAAGCAAATATATGGTGTTAATTTACCGGTATATCCAAAAATAGGAAAAGGATAGGCTTTAATAAGTTTTACTTCTTCTTTTTGGTTCACGATTAAAAATGGCATGCATTGTACTGCATTGTTGCATGTTTTTACATTTGTTCTGATGACCAAATTAAAACTGATCCGAACAGAGAAGATTGGCAGAAAATCCTACAAAGCAAAAAATGAGCAAAGATTAAAAAAACTGAAGGAGAATAGATCAGGGAAATGCCAATGGAAGCGAAAGATCCTTTCAATGTTAGCTGCAACAAAAAGCTCACTCAATAATATGCTTTATTCTGTCACCCTCTCAGAGACAAAACATGTTATTTTCTGCTTCCTCTCTCTTCCTTTTGTTCATGTTATATAATAACAGCTTTGCTATTGTAAAAGAATGTTTGCTACAGTTATGACTTAAAAAAAACTGTTTAGTGCTTTCAACTATATGTGATATTGCCAGTAAGGTCCAATTTTGTGATGTTTCTTTAGATAATATTTGTTGATGTTGTATAGTAATTGAAAAAATGTGGATTCTGTTTTAAAGGTTATACACTGTACCATTCATTATATGTACAACAATTGCTTGTAAAAGTGTTAGTTTAATCTATTGTAGGTGAAATTAAAGGTTATTACTTGAGTCTTTTGCTCACATACTTGTTACCGTAAATGTACCCTTCTGATTAGAAGATTTTTAGAGAACTTTTAGAAAACATTTAGGGATTTAAATTTACAGGTAAAGTTCTATGGATAGGGTTACAAAATTAAAAATACAGTAAACAGTTTCAGTCAGAAAGAAATATGTGACTTTTTCCCATTGCTTTTAGTTCTCTATGTCATACAACACTGATTTAAACCTCAAATGACTAAACTTACATTGTATACATGTAATCAAGTATTAAATGATTTTACAAGATGGGCCTTTTATTCCTTTCCTTTAGCATATACAAAGTTTTCTTTCTGTAACAATATGTACAATTATTCTGTCATGTTACAATATATTCTAATGATGGAAGATCTATTGGTTTTATTTTATTGATTTTACATTAACACACAGGAGATTGGCAACAAAAATGAAAGAGTTTGTAACTTACTTTAGGCTTACTGTAGATCATATACCTTTGAAGGTTTCTCCTCTTAATAATGCATATCACCATGGAAACTTGTAGAGAAGAGGAACTCATATGTTGAAGCACAACTTCCCTTTTATATTCATCTTATTACAAAATGAAACGTAACAACTCAGACATGCATGGAAGGGGCAATTTCAACACCTCTCAAAATTGAACTTCTTTATTTGATTTTTTCCCAAGCAAATACTAGGACATATCAATATATATATATATATATATATATATATATATATATAAATTTAGTTATTGCGTGCATTGCCAGATGTAACAATGTTTTGTTACATTTTTATCTGATATAAAAATATCAGCTTGTTTATTTTTTTATTTTATTCATTTTTTTCTTTCTGCTTTGGCTGCAGCTGGTGCTGCTTATGCAGCACACAATTATAAAGGCAGAGTGATAGTATTTAGACAAAGATCAGTACAATGATACATTTAGGAGATTTTTCATTTGCACAATTAATTTACCCTAAATAAGTCCGTTTTTTAAAATGTTCCTAATGCAGCTTATATAGAAAAATTTGTTCTCAAAGAGATACAAACTGGGTCAGTCATGCAACTTGATATTGTCTGAATCAACAATACATTCACAAACTACAGATCCTAAAGACATTTCAACCTGGACAGACCAATATAGATCAATGTATTGACATGCAAATATGAGTCTTTTGCACTCAGACTCCAGTGGAAGACATCGTGCTGAATGCAACTGATCTGCATAACGGGGTAGACCTAATTTAGATATGATACTGGTGCTGAAATGGAGTCGGAGAATGAAGGGAGATGCAGTGAGCTGAAGGTGTGTGTGTGTGTATTTGGGGGGGCAGCTTCTGGAAAGCAGGATTCTGTCAATCTGGTTATTAAATGCAGAGTCTTAAATGATGATAGGCTGGAGCAGAAGCATGCAGAGAGGTGATTAGCTCTGTGTGGGAGTAAGAGTTAGACACTGATAATCATTGACCCTTGGTCTCTGTCTAAGTAGCATACAGATTTCTGTAGAAATGGCAGCAAAAAGTCATGCATTTTCTCTAAATGAAAGAGGAACATTGATTTTAGAAAGAAATTCTTCATTTCTACGTAAATTGCCAATGCTGACAAATAACTAATCTACCAGAATAATGGTGGGATTGTACTGGGTATCAAAACATATTGTTTTATTGTTATATACAATACCTGTATTGTACCTTTTAAAAGTGGGAGAAGTTGTGTTTATGTGACCATGATACGAAAGCCTGACGGTTAAAGTTAGAGAATTTAGTGGTGTTTTTGTTTATCAAGCTTATGACCGGAAAGCCCTCAATTTTAGAAAAAGAAAATAGAAAAGGGAATAAAATTACAAATAGAGGTTGGGGAATTAAAAAAAAGGATTCATTCAAATTATCTTAAAGGTTTCATTCAAGATGGATAAGGATAAATAATTAAACCCTCTGATTTCATTAAAGTAGATTTCCTAATGATTTCCTTTTTTTCCAAAGAATATGAAACAGTAGTTTATAAATGTCTTTCGCATTGTTGTCAAGGTGCAAAGGCCTGTGCAGAACAGGTAACTGGGAGATGCCTTCAGCCTCAGGGAGTAGAATACAACCTTGCACTGAAATTTTCAATTAGCATTTAAAAATTTTAAGAGCCTCTTCTTTTTTGATCCTGATGTATTTGCAGAAATACAGGACTACCAGTTAACTGGAATGCCTTCAATTGAAGAACTGCAGCTATTATTTCATATTTGGCAAGGATATATAAAGGCCAAAAAATTAAAAGTAGGCAATTTATTTCTTCTATTTTTAACAGGATCAGACTTTTGTCCAAAGTATGGAGTGAAACTTGTTCCATTACTATTGCAATCACAAATGTCTTGTAAATAGAAATTTGCAGGAAAAGAAAACAAGTTAAAATATGAAAAAAATGCCATCCATTAATCAAACACGTTAGTAAAAACAAAAAATTTCAATTTTGCTTTTTTCTCAAATTTTGTTTACTTTTAAAAAAAATATTTTTCAAGATCTCATATTTTCAAATTGTATTTTTTCAAATGTTCTTTACATTTTCTTTAATTTTATTATTTATTTTATTTTATTTTTTATTTTATTTTTTTTTTCTAATATTTGCTTTTTAGGTTGAGTTTTATGAATTACTTTTCAACTATCATATTCACTTTAAGCCCAGTAGAAACGCTCACTCTTAACATGCATGTTGACCAATAAAAATCTTTCTAACACTCTATGAAGGTGTCTTGTCTATGTCTTGTCTCATTATAGAGGAAACACCAGCAGCAGTGAAGAGAATGTGATCAGGGAATACAATTTGAAAAGAATGCAATCGTAAAATACAATCTGAAAAAAAAAAATTTTAATTAAAAACAAAAAAGTAAATATAAAATGGATTTAAAAAAAATTAAATATAAAATAAGTGAAAAAATAAGACAAATACAGATACAAAAGGAAACATACATTTGAAAACAAAAGAGGAAAAAAATACAAATATTAAAACATTATTTAAAGATTATTTCTGTTCTTTTTTTCAGTTTACAAAATATGTTCTTTGCTTGCAATAATAAAAAAAAAATCACTGCATACTTACAGTAGGTAGTATTATCTCATACTTTTTTTCCCTTTAGAGGACTGGTTTTAATGTGAAATTGCAAAATAAAAGCTTAACAACAAAGGAAAAAAATGATGGCTTCATAACAGCCCCACCCCCATCTGATTCTCTAAATATGCCAGATAAAGGAAAGGAGCATTATTTTCGTTTCTTGTAGCTTTTATTGTTACAAGGTTTTAAATGCAGTGTAAATAATTTACCCAACCCAACCTTTTACTGACTTGAATAAAGGAAAACAGTGATCTAACCATTTAGGATCTAGCCTCCCACTGCTATGCACAGATGCTGGTACCATCCTTCACAACATAGAGCAGAGCAAAGATGAAACCGGCTCGGATGAGTAGTTTGTAAAAAACAATATAGTAAGTCAGGTAGATGATGATGAGGAAAGATGGACAACAGTTTCAAGTGGAAAAGAGAGAGATAGAGGAAGTAAAAGGGAAGAAATGGGGTTTGATAATCAAGGAAATAAACTGGAGTTAGAAGAAAGAATTTCAGATGAAGAGAGTTGTGCGAAGGAAGATTGTCAAAGAAGAAATAAAAATAATATTTAGATTCAGTGCTGAAGATAAACAGTGTTGTCTGAGCCCCAATTTGTTTTCTAGAGAAGTAAATAAGAAAATCGTTAAATTAGTGAAGAATTTGAGAGATGGAAACTTGCTAATTAATTTGCAAAAATGAGGAGCAAAAAAAGAAGCATTGGATGTTGAACAGTTAAAGAACAGAGAGGTCATCCATATAAAAGTAGTAGAAGAGAATAAAACAGTGAAAGGAGTAAAAACAGGAATATCAAATAACGAGAATTTGGTTCAATTAGAAAATCACATTATTGAAGGCCAGGTTAACAAGATACAGAGACTTTATAAAAACATACAATGGGAAAGGGTGGCAAGCATGTCTCTGTTGATAGAGTTCTCAGTCAGTTTAACCAGGCCGTTCATTTCACCTCCACTCAGGTACTACAGGTGTCAGCATGTACAGACATGTGGCAGCAGTTTGTAGGGGAAAGCAAAGATGTTTAAAATGTGGAGAAGAACACAGAATCAAGAAGTGCAGGAAATAAGCTGAAGAAAGGTGCTGCAACTGTGGAGGCCAGCACAGAGTTAACTATGGAGGATGTGAGGTGAGGTTTGAAAGAAAGCACTGCAAATAAAACATGTCAAAAGAACAAAAATATACAAGCTATACAGAAGCAGGGAAGATAATTCAAGGATAAAGGACAAGAGAAATGAATCAAGCACAGATTCAGGTACAAAAGCACAATAAAGACGAAAGAAAAAACAATTTCACTCCAACAGCAGAGAAACAAATTTTATTCATAGCACATGTCGTTAACTGCACAGATCAAACAAAGCATAAGACAAAGAAAGGAACTGAAAAGTTTTTGGGACTCAAATAAGTTAGTTGGGAAAGCATTTTTACAAAGTCAGTGATTGAGGAAAGAACAGGAGCGTCAGTGAAATAAAAGTTGAAGATATTATTAATAATAAATTGTTATTATATTAGATAAAGCTATAGGATATGTATTTATTATATTATAGATATAAAGTGAAGTAGATACATTTATTGGTTAATAGGAAACCATTTTGTTTCCCCACTCATACCAGTAGGTGGCGGTAATGCGCTTTCAAATTGTTTGCTAAGCGCCAATAATCTTAACAACAGAAGAAGAAGAAGAAACCGCGGAAGATTCAAAACTAAGATGGCGGCTGGAAAAGAGACTCAAAACAGTGTCAAGCAAAATAGGAGGTACTGCATTTTAATAAATATACTGTCGAATCTATAAGATAAAATAACAAAAGAGTAATAGTGACTTCGTTTCCCATGTTATTTAAACCGTCTCACAATAATGGGTATTAGCCCTAAATAGCAACTGACAAAAAATCTTTATCGTACTGATTTGTATCATGATTTGTACGTAATTTTTAGAACACGACTAAAGGCTTATTATTTTATAAATAATTGGTTAATATATCCATAAATAACTAATTGTTTGAATGCTTGATTCTTCACAGGGAGACAAAATGCAGCCTGTTCCTCTGTCAGGAAAAACCAGACGTTACCCAGCCTGTAATATTTAACCCGGACTTCTTTGTGGAGAGGCTGAGACATGAGCATCCGCAGATTTACGCCGATTTAGTGCTCAGCAACATAACTCGGCTCATAGATCTGCCGGGGGACGAGTTTGCCCAGCTGACCGGGGAGTTGGAGCCCAAGATGCCCTCATCATCATCCACTGCTTTTCTGCGCTCCTTCAACTTCCGCAAACGGAAAGGTTAGAGCCGATAGTGTGCGCCTGCTTTAGGTTTAGCTGCTTTATAGACTTAAGCAAGAATTTAAGCAATTGTTTACAGTTTTTGTTTACTTTTTCACGAACAATATATTCACCTGTTTTCTAATGTGTTGCTTGACAGAAAAGGGAGTGATATTTGGAGCGCCATTAACTGAAGAAGGAATAGCCCAGATCTATCAACTTATTGAATACCTGAGTAAAAGTAAGTATCACTGTACAAAACATGCTCTCCTTCAAAAAGCATCATAAATTGTGAAATTAAGAAAAGGACTTGGCAGCATCACTCATTAAAGACTACAAATCAAATCTTAATCTCTATATGTCATTTCCATTTTTGCTATACAATTTTTCAGTACTATCTATCACTTAAAATCCCAATTAAATACTTACATGTACGCCCACCGACAGGGGGGACAAACGGGCCAGTTGTCCCGAGCCCAGGGTAGAGGGGCGGCCCTGAATCAACCCCCCATATCTTTTGCCATAAATATTATTTTTTCAAAGATGTGGAACGAAATTAAGCAATTTGAGCTTTATTCTTAAGTTTCATAAAATCCTTTCCCATTATTAGCTTCTTTTGATGATCCACTGCAGTATTGGGAAGTACCCCCACCAGCCATTCCTTCTAACTGCTTACTGATGCAGTTTCTCTGAAGTTTGTCAAGCTGCTATACATAAGAATAGCTGCACTGCAGGTGGAGACGGGGCGGGACGTCCTCTGTACTAGGTCAGGCAGCAGCTCCATCACTTTAATATGAAGGTATGAGGTAAAGATTTGAATTTAGACATGGTGCGTCCGTGGCTGCAACAATACTGCAGTGGAAGTAAATAAATAGAAAATCCTACTGTACAGCCTTAATTGGTTTTGACCAGAACTTTTTGTGGTCAAATTTAAACATGTCACACAAGTAGAAATCACACAGGTTAAAAACTATAAATGGGATCAAATGTGACTGGAGGCAGACATGGAAAGCCAAAGGTGCCACAACGTTCATAAATTAAAAACCGGAAAGGTCGCTATTTGTAAATGAAAACATTTAAATGTTACTTGAGATGCATGCATTAAATAAATA